AGGTGTCAAGGGAAAGAGGTGCAGTGCCAGGAAAGTTGGGGGTAAGGGCCTGTGGTAAGGTTGGGATGGGTGTGAGGAAGAGGTGGGAGATGAAAGGAGTGGAGAGGGAAAGGAAATGGGAAAGGGTCAAGAGGAGGGGGCAGGGATGGGGGAGGGAAGGAATAACAATTGTGAAGAGTGGGGGTAGGAGGAGTGTAGGTGTAGGGGTAAGGACTAGAGAGTGAGATGTGGGATGTGGTTTGGATTTAAATGAGGCATGTGCCCCGCTGGCCACAAGTTTGACATGCTTGTCTAGGGTGATCTTTGAGTAGAAGATTGGGAAGGTTGTGGGGTCACTGGTATGTGGATGGGAGGTATTGAGTGTGGGTGAAAATTTAAGAGGAATATGAGGGGTAATAGTGGGGGGTCACGATTGGGTCAGATGCCTGGAGAGGCATGGGTAGCATGGGGCCACTTTCCCAGTCCCTTGTTTGACCCACTGTATCCTTGTCTGAGCTATAAACATTGCCTCTTTTCTGTCCTTGCACCTTCTAGAAAACCCAAGGCTCAAATTCCTGGGCAGTAGGCTTCTGTGAATCTGGAGGCCCCTCCCCACAGGAGGCTTTGCCATGGTCCCCAGGAGGCAGCTTCTTGACTGCCGCCCCCTTCCTCCACCCCAAAACAGGGACCAGGGCACCTTCTCTGCCCACAAGAACCCTGGGTTGGGGAGGCTTACTGTGAGCACTAGTCCCCTCCTGTGAGCTTGGGTGACAAGAGGGACCACTGGCCAACTTGGGACACCTGCTCTTTGCCCAGCACCCTGAGCCCCCTGCTCTCAGCACCAGCATTAGCCCAGAAGTCCTGCTTGGCAGGAAAGCTATGGCACATCAGAAAAGAGAGGAAGGCTGTGAGGCAGAAACAGCTGCCAGCCAGAGTGGAGGAAGAGCAGGACCCCAAAGGGTATGGACAGAAGGCAAGGCACTGGATCTGGCAGACCCTCCCTACTGTGTGTGGGTGTTAGGCTTCCTGCCCCAGCCCTTCCCATTCAGTGCTGGTGTTCATGGAGCAGGCTCAGCTCATGGGCCTTAACTCAGCTGAAACAGACCTCAGAGGTCACTTAGTCCAACTATCTCCATAATCTGGAATTAGAGTTATTTCCACAGCATTTCTTCCAGGGGTCTGACTGAATTAGGCTAGACATTTCCTAGAGAATAGGAGCTCACCTCCCCCTAACACAGTCTGGTCCCTCTTTGAAGAAAAAATACCTGTTAACTGAGTAACTCTGCTGTGCCTAGGTACCGTTGTGGACTTCTCATTAATAATGACCTCACAGGGTTGAGATTCATTTTACAGATGAGAAAAGTGAGGCTTTGAGGAAAAAAGTCCCTAGCTCAAGGTCACATAGATAATAAATGAAAGAGCAGGGTCTGAACCCAGGACTTTCTAACTATGAAGTGCCCCTGGGGCTAAGTAGGACATGCCTCTTCTTTTGCACCATGACAATTCTTCAGAGGTTTGAAAGCAGAAACCACAGCCTTCTGAGTGTCCTCTTCTCCAGGTAAAACAGCTTCTTCAACTTTGTCCAGGAGAACATGGGTTCCAGCCTCCTCTAGACCTGCTCAGTGTATGACCCAGAACCAAACACATGGTCTTCCAGGTGTGTTTGGGCCAGTTCAGAACAGAGTAGAACTATCACATCCTTCCTTGGCACTAACCTTTACTGTTGTCGTCAAATGACTGGTAAGAAAGCTGAGAACTATTCTTCTCTTGAGTTTCCCCTCTCGGATCAGAGCTATGACAGAAGAAGACAGATATTTTTCCTATCTCCACCACTCCCCTCAACCCCTGAATTAGAGAAGGGAAGGACAGAGGTGGGGGAAGAGGCAATCAGAACCAGGCAGGGGCATGGCAGGGCTGGGGGGATGGAGAGCTGTGGGAAGTGAGGTGGCTGTCCAGTAACCCTAGGCAGGGCCAGAAGGGCCAAGGAGATGGAGAGGTAAGTGTTTTGGGGTGTGCATAAGGAGATTAGGGGGTGGAGCATGGCCCCTGGGGTTGGGAGAGGCCAGGGTGGAGATAGGCATGGCCTGCCTCAGTTAACATTGCCCTGCTGTGTGAGAGGAAGTAAGTCTCACATTAAGGAATGTTGCAACTGGTACTAAATTTGGAGGTGTCACAAGCAGCAGCAGTGAGGACAGGTATGATTTGTGGGGCGCTGTGGGGCCCAAAACAGGGGCAGACATTGCAAAGGGAGAGAAGAGGCTTTCTGAGGGCTTCCCAGGAAAGATCTGACTGAGACACTTAAGTCAGGGTCCCAGGGATGGGGGTCACCTGGCCCTGAAACAGGTTCAGACTTGGCTTCCAGAAGTAGAGGAAGCCCCCTCATCCTGGCCTGGGGCTGTGGGCCCTCCACCCCGGAGAAGCTTTAAGGATGGTCATCATTTCCAAGGGATCCCGTTTGGGGTAGGAGCTGAACAGGTAGGCTTGGAGCCTGGGGGTAGGATCAGGGATCGGCAGAAAAGGCCTGGGATACAAGTGGTGTGATAAGGTGAAGAGAGAGGGGCTGCAGGAAAAAGGAGTGCCCATAATACAGCCGGAATCAAGAGCCCTTTAGGTCTAGGCCTCAGTTGAGGGGGAGAGGATTGGAAAGGGGTGGGAAAGACAGGAAGAAAGCTATAGAGCTGGCACTGCCCTCCTGGCACAGCAGGCAGCAAGAGAGCAGGCAGAGTTCGCTTGAGAGGGAGAGCGAGAGAGGGAGAGCAACAGTGACAGACAAGGAGAAATAGCAGAGGAGGGAGCACCCTGGCCACTGGGAACTTGATGGGAGACACTGGAAAAAACATGGGCTTAGCAACAGAGCATGTGAGTTGGAGGCCTGGCACTCCTGCTCATTAGCTGAGAAACCTTAGGGCAAGCTGCTTGATCCCCCTGCACCTCAGTTTCCTCATCTGTGAAATGGGATAATGGTGCTGGTATTAACAGTCTCCTTGGGCAGTTGTGATCTCATAATATATGGGAGAACAATGTTGGATGTTATATTATTATTTTAAAATATGATCAGCTACCTCTCTTCCTACTTGAATCTCACACAAAAGACTCAGAATGTGGGCAGAGCAAGGATTATCCCTGTTTTACAACTGAGCAAATGAAAGCTTAAAGTGAAGTGACATGCCTAAGGTCACTCTGTTAACAAGTGGTAGAGGCTGATAAGGCCTAAATCCTGGAGATCGGTGGTCTTTCTCCTATACCAAACTGCCTGGTAAAAATAATCAACATGAGTGATTATTATATACTGTGGGATCAGACACAGCTTGAAGCCAACTATAACATGGGGATAACCCATGAGAAAGTTGTGGCATGGTCTCTCATTCATCCTGGTGATTGAAAAAAAGGAAAGGTTGGGGCCACGGGGTTGAACTGAGGGCCACAAAAGACACACATTCTATATTCCTTCTACTATTAGATCATATCCATCTATTCCCACTGAGTGTATGTATGTCTCTATCTCTTTATGACAAAATGTGTCCTTCATGTGATAGGACTTCTGCCTTTGTGTTTCTAACATGGTGGGGAGATGTACGTGTGGGTGTCTGCTTCTATGGCACTGTTTGGTGTGACAAACTCTCTATATCTGTGTGACTTTGCCTGGGGTAGTGATGGTGGTGTATGACTCTGTGTGTGTGTGTGTGTGTGTGTGTGTGTGTGTGTGTGTGTGTACACCTTTAAGAAATGAAATATCTCATTTGGTAGTGTGAGTGAGACAGTGAGTCAGCTGAGGCTGAGGGAGGCGGGAGAAAGATAGGTAGGTTACGAGAAAACGGAAAAGGAGAATGAGAAAGTGAAGTCAGAAGCAAGGAGCTACCCCTTTCCTACCCAACCATAGAAGGAGCCCACCAAGAGCATGGAATCCTACTGAAGTCCACAGGGGTCACATTGGATGGAAAGGGGCACTTTCTGACCCTCTCTAAAGCCTTGGTAGGAGACAAGCTAGACTAAGAGGCAACCATCTCCCTTTACAGCTCCCAGTCTCTCTCCCACTCCCCCCAGTCCTTGCTTGAGGATGGGTGAGGCAACCACCCCACCCTATCTCCTTTTCACTTGACCCTTTGACCTTGCTGTTCTCTTTCCTCCCAAAGGCAGACCACCTGGCCAGGTTGAGCCAACAAAGCAGTAGCATGATGTCACCAATGTTTCCAGCCCCCATACACCTACTGCCCAGAACTACCCTGCTGAGGGTCAAGAAGTTTCTCAACTCAGCTCTGCCCTAGGCAGGCCCATTCTGCAGCAGCGTCGCCTCTCCTCTGGATTCCTGTTCCCATAAGCCAGAAAGCCAGCTGTCCCCCCTCTGCCACCCCAGGGCGCTGGGAAAGCACTGGGAGCTTGGTAATGCACCAACCTTCAGTGTCCCTCCCACAAGTCGCTGTGCTCTGTTTCCAGCTCCTTTTGTCAGGGAAGAGGAGTTGGCAAGGAGATTCTCCTTGGGAGAAGACAGGCTCCGCCTACCTAGGTTCTGACAGGCCACCTCAGGTCACATAAGGTCAACAGTGTGTTGTGCCCCACCAGCAGGGGTGCCCCTCCTCTAGCCCATTCCCAGGGCCCAAAGGATGAGGGCTAGGTTGCCAAATATTCTTCCTTCCACCTTTGGCCTTCCCCCTGCACCAGCCACTCCCAAGACTTTCAATTCCAGCCCAGGAAAGAGGGTACCTATGGCTGAAGATGGAGGCCAGATCCCTCTTCCACCCCTTTGCCAGACAAGGGCCCCAAGACCCCTCCCTCCTCAAGCGGGGCGGGGCGCCAGGAGGCCCCAGTCAGACCTTGCCCAAACCTGGAATTAATAGAAGTTGGCCAGGTGGTGACCTGACCTGAATCCCTGAGGCTCCTCCAGGGCGGGTTCCAAAGCAGAGCTTGAAAGGTAGGGGTATTGGGAGGAGGTGTGGTGGGCAGAGGGGGAGACCTCCTTTTTTTCTTTTTCTCGGGCCCACCCCCACTGCTCCCGCCTCGTGGCCACGGATGCCAGTCCCTACCTTACAGCCTTTTGTGCAGGACCGAATTGAGTACTCTTCCGCCTGTAAGTATTTATGCAGCACGAGGTCGAACTCGTCATATTTTTCCTGAGCATGTCGGTCAAGCCGCTGGTACGCCTCGATACAGTTGCTACACACCTCCCAGGCCCCGGAGCCCGGGCTGGCCACTATGGCCAGCAGGTCTCCCAGCAGGGTGTCCAGGCTGCAGTCCAGGCTGTCGGGGCGGTCCATGCCCAGCAGCAAGTCCCAGACCGTGTAGGTGTCGCAAAAGGAGAGAGTGAAGTTCCGAAAGTGGCCTTTGAGCAAGTTTTTTTGGGCGGAGGGGAACTCGGCCGGAGCACGGGAAGGGGAGTCAGGGGGCCGCAGAGGTGGGGCTGGGGTAGTCGGTTCGAAAAATCTCTGCAAAGATTGAAATTTGGTGCAAGCTGCGTCCAGCCCCGTGGGCTCTGGGATGCCGCTGCAGTCCAACCCGGGACCAGCGGCGGGGGCGGCTTTGGTCAGGTTGCTGTATCGGGGACCGCAGGTGCCTGGGGGCGCACTGGGCTCGCCGGGCGGCGGCAGCAGTGGCAGCACCGCACGAGGAGGGACTGGCTGCCGCTCACGGTTGGTCCCCCAGGGTGGCCGCATGGCGCTGCTCAGCTCCCTGGCCCGGGGCCGGGCCCCCGCGCACAGCCACAGATGGTCAGCGAGCAGCACGGTGAAGAAGAGCAGGGACGCCAGGGACAGTCGCCATCGCTGCGCCCGCTCGGAATCGGCGCAAGGTTTGTCGCTCGGCCTGGGAGCCCAGCAGCAGCAGCAGCAGCAGCAGATAGTCAGCGCGGCGGCGTCTTTTCCGGGCCACATCCAAGCGCCCCTGAACATATTTCAGGGGGGTCCGGGCTGGAGAAAGCAGGCAGGCACGAGGCCGGACGGCCGTCTCGGGCGAGCGAGCGGACTGCCCGCCGCTCCGCGTTCCTCGGCGCCGTCCAGGTTCTACCTCGGGGGCTGCATGGTGAGGCAGGCCGGCCAGCCCGGGGCCCCACTCAGGCCGGAGTCGCGGAGCGCTCTTGTGTCGTCCCCGCGCCCCTCCCGCGCTCGCTCGCTCGTAGCCCGGGCGCGGCCGCCCGGCCCGCTAGGCGCTGCCCGGCGTCCCGGCGGGGGGCGGTGCGGGGCACTGAGGCGGTGGCGGCTGCGGCGGCAGCGCCGCGCTCTTCATAGTGTCGGGCCCCTCAGCTGCCTTCTGCTCCGCGACACTCCACTCGGGGCCGGCGGCAGCCCTCCTCACTCTCCGTTCTGGCCGTCTCGGCTGGGCTTGGCGCACCTCTGCGCCCCTCAGCGCCGCCGTGCGGGCCCGGTCGCCGCGTTTCGCTCCGCTCGCTCTCCCCGCGCTGCTCTGCTCCCGCCCGTCCGCCCGCGCTGCTCCGCTCCGCTCCCTGCCTCTCTCCCGCCCTCCTAGGCCCGCCGGTCGGCCCGCTGCCCGGCCCTTCGGGCTTCGCTGTCGCTCTGGCCGTTCGCCGGTGCCGGTCCTGGGCCGGCTCTGCTCTGGCTCCTTGCAGGCTGCTCCCGGAGTTCCGGCTCCGGCGGGCCACCTGGCTCCCAGCAGCGCCACAGGCGCCGGACGCGGACGCAGACGCGGACGCGGACGCCGGGCTTTACTTAGAGCGCTTCTCGCTTCCGCCTCTCGTTCGAACCGCTGAGGTGGCCGCCAAGCGGCACGGCCCCTGGTTCCCGCTGGCCATGCCCCCTCAGTCTGTCGCCATCTTCCGCTGTGAGGAGAACACCTTGAGAGCCTGTGTGCGAGTGTGTTTGGTGGGGAACGGGGCGGAGAAAGAGGCACGAAGAGGAGGAGGGAACGGGACTGGGGCCCCGACTGCGCCTGCGCCTTAGGACTCTTCTCTCCCCCCCCCCCCTCGCCCCCCAGCTCCCGCTGGCCACAGTCTGTGCTGTTTGGGGATGTTTCCAGTCCACCCCCAACTCCATTCACTTCAGTGCCTCCGTTCATCCACCCGCGTGCACCCGCCACACGCTGAGTCCCAGGTCCTAGCGCTCCCCTACCCTCACCAATCCAAGCACCCTTTCCTCCCCGCGGGGGCTGCTCACTGCTCCCGAGGGTTCGGGGGCTTTCTGGGGGTGATTCTTGGAGGCAGGAGGCATCTCCCTAGCGTCTCGCTGCCTCTCCAGTCACCGTGATTAGGCGGAGCTGGAGCTGGCTGCGGATGGGACCAGTCCCTTGTCCCTAACTCCCCTGTCCTGCCCGAGGCCAAGGCGGCCCCTGATGCTGAAGGATAGCTCCCAGCTTAGCAGCTGTGCAGGACAGAGCTTGGAGAGCGTCCTTGAGGGGGCAAGACAGTGGGCTAAGATGGTTATTAGTGATGGGGTGTCTTTTCTGCCCTTAGTAAGATTTCCAGCAGCCTCTTCCCCGTCTTAGCTTCCTGGCTCCCCCTATAGGCTGCTGAGAATAGCTGAGCAATAGTTAGGGAAGCAGTGCCGCCCAGATGGATCCATGTGCTTGGGGCCCTCAGAGTCACATGGCACTAAGAACTCTGATGAACAAACGTCCTGCTGTGCCACTAACCTTGTTTGGATTTCACCAAATCTCAGAGTGGTCTGGTTGTCTACTTCCTTTTCTCACTCCCTCCCACTCCCAGTAACTCCCACATTCTAATTTTTAATCAACCATTACCAGTAAGGATTTGCTAATATTGAGAATAAAAACAATAAAATACTCTTTATTGCATATATACTAGGTGTTTGATTACTGCTCTAGGCACTTTACACACATTATTTCATTTAATCTTCACAACAATCTTATGAAGTAGGCACTACTGTTATCTTTATTTACATATGAGGAAGCTGAGGTTTAGAGTGGTTAAGTTGCCTCAGGTTACACAGCTAGTAACCAATGAAGCCAAGATAGAAACCCAGGCAGTCTGGTTCTAGAGCTCTCTTAACACTCCAGTAAACCCTGGGGGGTGGGGGGGGGGGAATGAAGGGATGGAAGACACAGTCCTTCCTGCCTTACAGGAAATTATAGTCTATATGACGAAACAAGGCATATATGTTGGCTAGGGCGAGGATTCATGGACTAGAGCAGCCGTGGGCAAACTACGGCCCACGGGCCGTATCCGGCCTGTTTGAAATGAATAAAACTAAAAAAAAAAAAAAAAGACCGTACCCTTTTATGTAATGATGTTTACTTTGAATTTGTATTAGTTCACACAAACACTCCATCCATGCTTTTGTTCCGGCCCTCTGGTCCAGTTTAAGAACCCATTGTGGCCCTCGAGTCAAAAAGTTTGCCCACCCCTGGACTAGAGACTTGGGTTCAGGTAATAGTTCTACCACTGAACATGCTATGTGCCCTAGAGAGAGTCATTTCTCTCACTGAGTCTTGGTTTTCCCCTGAGTAACATGAGGAAATGCCAATGGCTAAATAAGATGGATGTGAATCATTAGTACTATTCAGAGGTGGGCCAGGGTGGGCTGGGGCGGATGCAGGAAAAGTTTCTGGAGGAGGGAGAGTTTGAGCTGGTTCCTAAAGAAGTAGTGGGATTCACCCTAGCGGGTTTTGCTCAGTGGATAGAGCATTGGCCTGTAGACTGGTGGGTTCACGGATTCAATTCCAGTCAAGGGCATGTACCTTGGTTGCAGGCTCGATCCCTAGCCCTGGTCAGGGTGCGTTCAGGAGGCAACTAATCGATGTGTCTCTCTCACATCTATGTTTCTCTGTGTGTGTCTCTCCTCCTCCCTCCCACTCTCTCTAAAGATCAGTGGTGAATTAGGGATGCAGACATTTTAAAGGAGGCATTGCAATCCATTGAAATAAGAATGATATGAATGTAAGGGAGGAGAGGGCTTCCTCTCATAGAGGTGGGCACTGATCAACTCTGTCAGCTTCCCTCAGAGATCATTTTGCACACAGCCACTTGAGTTGGGGGGAGGGATCCATTCATTTATTTATTCAGCAAATGTCTATTGACGATATGTTATGGTCCAGATGCTGTATTAGGCATCCAAGATATAGAATTGAGTGAAATACCTGTCTTGGGCTGAAGGAGTTTAGTTGAAGTCTTAAGGACTGAGTAAGAATTGCCTAGACAAGAGAGAAGGTGGTGTGTGAAGGATGTCCCAAGCAGAGGGAATGTCATGTGTAAAGGCCCAGAAGCCAAGTCAAGAATGGCATGTTCAGAAACCTGCAAAGTAATTCATTGTGACTAGTTGTGAAAGGGAAGCACTTTAAAAAATGAGGATGAGGATTTAGCAGGAACCAATCATGAAAGGCCCTGGGTGCCATGCTAAGCAGTTTGGACTTTATCCCAAGGGTACTAAGAGCCACAGAAGAGGTTGAAAGATTTTCAGCAGATTTGTATTTCTAGAAGGTTGATTTGGCTGCAGGATGGAGAATGGATTGGAGTGGGGGGTGAGAGGAGACTTGAGGCAAGGAAACTGGTTAGGAGACTGGTTAGGGTAGTCCAGGTGAGAGGTGTTAAGAACTGAACAAAGAATGCAGCATTAGGGGTGCTGGTGGTCTTAATCCAGCGTCCAGAAAGGGTTCAGGAATCTGGAGAAGGTGCTGTGTGTAAATTAATCAAGAGTCCAGAGCCAAAACATAATTTTGGAAGGCATTTTGGGGAGCGAGAGAAAACTTAGCTAAAGAAACCAAGTTCTTCTGTCTCTCTGGACTCCTTGCTTTTTATTAACACAAATTGTCCTAAGGCAAGGTAGATATAGATATCAAAGACAAGGTTTAGTATACAGAATCCATTATTAGATTGGGGGGAAACTGCCTACAGCTGTTCAGGTGTTTGGCCAGCAGGAGGCAATAACATGTAGATTGAAATGCCCTCAGCTGTCTGGCAGCAAGCAATCATTTATGCATCCTTTTCAGGATTGGGGAAATGCCCTCAGACATTTCCAGATGATTCAGCCCTGCTGACATGCTGGAATTGGCTTCCGGCATAGGGGTAGGGGGAGGAAATGCACATGGGAGGGAAATGACAGAGGTAGAATGGAAAGGACCTGGGACTGGCCTAAATGTAAGGCATAAAGTAGAGACAGGGCCTGAAGAAGGAGGATGAAACCAAAGGGTTTGATTTAGTGACATTGGCACGACTGCCCCTGCCCACTTAGCAACTGTTTCTTTCTAGAATGATTCTTTGTTCAGTCCTTGGAGGGTTCAGTGTTCTGTATAACAAAGAATGAAAATCGCTTAGAGCAGCGGTTCTCAACCTGTGGATCGCGACCCCTTTGGGGGTCCAACGACCCTTTCACAGGGGTCGCCTAAGACCATCGGAAAACACATATTTTCGATGGTCTTAGGAACAGAGACACCACTCCTCTATCTGTCTCCAGGCGGGTCCGCCCACATGCAGATACGCCCACATACGAGTACCCGGCGTGATGACATCATCGCGCCAACCCCATCACATACACCCGGTACAAATACAGATGTATGTGACAGGGTTAGCGCCATAATGTACTTATGCAGACCAGCAGCTACTGTGTAGAAAGCAGCTGCTGTGTTGAAAGCAGCTACTCTGTTAAAAGCAGCTACTGTGTTGAAAGCAGCAGTATTGGAGGTAAAACGACACTTCGTGAATTATAATTACTGGGTAAATGTAAAATCATCAACTACTGCAAAAAAAAATAAAAATCTGTACCATGGGAACTTAATCTGAATGCTGATTAGTCTTTTCAGCTGTGGTTGATGTGAATACTGCCCTCTTGTGATAGTAGCAGGTATGTAAAAAAAAACAACACAGAGAATGGTAAATCATAGGGAACTTTAATGAATTGTATTGACTGAACTATGCCATGTATCTTCTTTTGTATTATTAAAGCTATTGATATATATTATTTTCATTAGCAAACCATCCCACGACAATGGATCGTGTAGAGAAGAATGTTAAGAAAAGAAAATATAGTGATGATTTTTTACAGTATGGTTTTACCTCAATAATTACAGCAGGAATTGGGAAACCGCAATGTGTTATTTGTTGTGAAGTTCTATCAGCCGAATCTATGAAGGCGAACAAACTAAAATGCCATTTTGATAGCAAGCATCCGAGCTTTGCTGGCAAGGATACCAACTATTTTAGAAGCAAAGCTAATGGACTCAAGAAAGCCAGACTTGACACTGGTGGCAAGTACCACAAACAAAACATAGCAGCCATTGAAGCTTCATATTTGGTGGCACTCAGAATCACCAGAGCTATGAAACCTCACACCATTGCTGAGGGTTTACTGTTGCCAGCGGCCAAACACATTGTTCGAGTTATGATCGGAGACGAATTTGTTACAAAATTGAGTGCAATTTCCTTCTCTAACGACACTGTCTGCAGAAGAATAGATGACATGTCTGCTGATATTCTTGATCAGGTAATCCAGGAAATTAAATCTGCTCCACTTCCAATATTTAGTATCCAGCTCGATGAATCTACAGACGTTGCAAACTGTTCACAGTTACTGGTTTATGTGAGGTATATTAATGATGGCGACTTTAAAGATGAGTTTCTTTTTTGCAAACCTCTTGAAACGACAACTACTGCACGTGATGTATTTGACACAGTTGGTTCATTTCTGAAAGAGCATAAGATCTCTTGGGAAAAGGTTTGTGGTGTTTGCACAGATGGTGCTCCAGCTATGCTAGGATGTCGATCTGGATTTCAACGTTTGGTACTGAATGAGTCACCAAAAGTCATTGGAACTCACTGTATGATTCATTGGCAAATATTAGCAATGAAGATGCTGCCACAAGAGTTACAAGAAGTAATGAAAAACGTCATAAGTTGTGTCAATTTTGTAAAGGCGAGCACTTTAAATAGTCGAC